GGGAATTTGTACATAATTGTGGGATTTGATAAGTGAAGAAGAAAATGTTTGCCTTTTTTTTTTTTTAATTTATCTATTGATTATCAGTTGAAGGACACACTGAAGCAAAGGATAAAAGTTGGTGTATAATTGAAAACTTAGGAAAATTTTTGGATGAAATCTTAGGGATATAATAGTTAAAATATAGTTTTCAAATTTTAAAAGCTAATTGTTATACATAACAGCTACCAAAGGTGATTGTTGCACTATGCAGCTCTTAGGCCTCCAATAGTTAATGTCTGTTAGAAATCAGCTGGTAAAAGTTTTTACCCAAACACTAAAATCTAGTTGTTAAACGAATTACAACAATCAACTAATTCCCAACCACTGAGATAAACACTCCCTTAATCCCAGAGGTAGTAATTCAATGGAGGGATTAATAGTTAAATTTGAGTTTAATTCAAAATTTAAAGAGACCATTGGGTAATGATTACTTACCAATCTCATTATTTTGCAATGAGTTGTTTATTTTTAACTAAACTAAAAAAAAGTTGGCTTAATTTAATACATGCAAGTTAATTTCAAATATTACCTAATTATTAATTAGAGTTTTTCATATTTATTAATTATATAGTATATAAAATGAGGTTGATATAGATCAATATGAAATTGAGGGAAAAAATATACATAGATTGAATCATAGCAATTGAGTGGTGCTATTGCTTCTTAAAAAAAAAAAAAAAGAGAGCAATAAAAATGAAGGCAAATAGGTACCATGTACGCGCATAAGTAGCGCTTGTGACTCTTTGGATTTTTTACCTCATATTACTGTTTGTCAGCATTTGCTCTATCAAAACGTCGTCCCAACCTTTTCCTCCATTTTTCCCCTCGATATCCTTCTCCTTTTTTCTCTTCGCAGCCTCAGAAATATCCTTTCCTCTCCTGTTTTGATCTCAACCACTTTCCCTTCTTTCCACCCCTCCCCAAAAACCATGGAAAATCCACTCAGAAGAAAGACTCCCAACAGATCCAAACAGAAGATCAGAAAGCCTGTAAAAGTGGTATACATATCCAACCCCATGAAGGTCAAGATCTGCGCCTCCAAATTCAGGTCACTGGTGCAAGAGCTCACGGGTCAGGATGCTGAATTTCCAGACCCCACCAAGTTCGCCGACGCCGATGCTGTCGGCAGCAATCAGACGGTTCCGGATGAGGCTTTGCTTAAAGATGATGATCATGGGGTGGTGGTCCCCACTGCACCGGAGGCCTTGCAGGGGAAGGCAGCCGAGAGGGAAGATGATGCCAGTTTGGATGATGACTTCAGCGCTCAGTTGCTGGAGAATTTTGCACCCAGCTTTTATCATGAGCCTGCCTACATAGATATTCCAAAGAATTGGTGAGCAACGCTGGGTCTTGATCAGGTTACAACTTAGTAACTCCTCGTGAATTTCTTAGTCTCGATGCATATGACTCTTGCTGCACCAAAATATTTAGCAACATGTACGTGTTGAGGAGCCTTGATTCACTGTAGAGATTGAGTAAGCTCATCTATTATGGCGTACAATATAGGTATATCTTTTGCTTGATATGCAAATAAAAATGTTTGTTTCTTTGATTTACTTTGCAGTTTGCAGTTTTATTTAATGGAAATCTAATGTGATTCTTGGTATGATTAGGGCTATGTTTGTAGGAGGATCAATGATTAAAGAAAAAAATTACTGAGATAATGTATCATATTAAAATTAGATTAAAAAATAATTGCATAACCATTTGCAAATAAAAAGGGATTTGCATATAGGGATGATTTTACATTGGTGTAGTTTTCCAAAGTGCTTTAAGGGAGGATTCTTGGGAAACATATATATGAAGAAGAAATGTTATGGGACCCAAGTCCTTGAATGTTGAATACAAACAAGTCTATGAAAAAGAAAAGAACACTCAATTGCTGTACACATGGACTGGCTCCTTCTCTTTGAGGTCATAGGAAAAGCAGGGTTAATATATCATTAAGATGTAGTCAAATATGTGGTACTCTGGGAAAAAAGTCGTGAGAGTGATTTTTGTAATTCATTAGTTGAAAGTATAAAGTCTTTAGACTGGTGGAGAAATTAATAATTGTGTTTTAAGTGTTTGTTAGGAGCTAGGCCTAACGAGGCTCCATGATAATTGTGGAATTAGACTAGTCCCAGTGATGTGTAGATATACTTGTTCCATATTTTTGAAACAGTTTTTCCAGCTTGTGTCTTAAAATGTAATTAATGGATCATTTTACAAATAATTTATATTGAAAGTGTAAATGTTAATTTTGATTTAATTAATTAACTAATTAAAATCATTTACATATAAATAAAGTTAAGATAAGTCAACCTTTTTAAAATTTTTATATGATTTAATTACAAAAATATGTATTTATTACCTTTTTTATCTGTGTTAGAATAAATGTTAGAAAACTCCTTTTGAAAATTAATAAATGTGGTAGTACTCGTATTTCTAAATAATAAAATTTTTAATTTATCCAAAAAAAAAAAAGGAGCTACGGTACTCCGTGAATGAAGAGTGAAACTGCACTCAAAGCTAAGCCATGAAAAATTAATTAAGTAATAGAGGGTTGGTGAATATTCGGTACCTTTATGATGAAATATAAAAGAAAAATGAAAAATGTAAATGTTGGCCCCTTGATGATTAAGATAAAACAAACAGGTCGTACCTGGCCTAGAGGCCCACTGGTATTAGCCAGCTTATTAGGAGCATTTTTCTCTTCTCTGGGCGGTTTCGAACTCGCCCGTGTCAAAATGTTAAAAAAAAAAAAGATAAAACAAGCAGGTCATAACTCAAAGGTCCAAACCTCAATCTGTTTCGACCGGACAGAATTCTATTCAAACCTCAATCTGTAGTAAGTAAACACATTAAAATCTCTCATTCTGTAATTATAAAATTAAATTATGAGATATGCCGGCTAAGTATGATGAGGAGCTGTAAATGTAAGTTTTCTTTTGTTTTTAAAATTTTAAATTATATATAAAAAAAATAATTCCTTTACTTTTTAACTAATACCAATTGCATGTAATATAACTCGAAGTAAATCCCTTACTTCCATTAAATCGTTGAACTATATAGTGTGTTGACAATTGTTAAGTGTAAGTTCAACTTTACGAATGAAAGCAATATTTCTTGAGAGATTAGCGCTTGTAGTCAAATATTTAAAAATTAAGAGAAAAAATATTTTAAAGTTATATTATTTGAATAAAATATAATAAAAAATAAAAATAATTTTATTTTTTTAAAATTAAGTTATTTTAATTTATTTTTATTAAAAATTAAAATAACTTAATTTTAAAATATTTTTCTTTTAATTTTGTAGAGATTGGAATTGATGAACATTTTTCTCATTTGGAGATTAAAAAAATCAAAAGTGTGGTGATTTAGACGGCAGCCTTTTAAAGTTTAGGGTTTTTTAAACATGTACAGCTTAAGAATATATTTTTAACATTAATTGCTAATGAAAAAATAAAATTTAATATTTATTTAATCAACAATCCAATTAAAACAATACATGTAACATTAATGATAAAATTAATATTAATTTTTTTTATTTTTTATATTAATTAATATAAAAAAAGTGTATTAATTACACATTTAAAATACAAGTTAGATAAATCTTAAAGTTTATTGGATTTTGTCTTTATTGTTGGGTTGCATAATTTCTGCGGTTCATCCATGCATCTGGCTTGTTCTGTTCATATTATTGTATTGGCCAAGGGAGGAACCGAGGAAACCCTTGCATGTAAAAGAAAACTGTCTCAGTCTCAGAACCCCTTTCATAGTGTGCAACAATGAAAGGTAAGTTTCCACTCTAGGGAAGGTGAATAT